AGCATAGATTTTGGATAGAGCACAGATGCCAAAGCGCAATAGAGTTTTATGTAGGAAAATTTTGTTATCGCTAAGCACATGAAAGCAGCAAAAGGGTGAAGATGGCGGTCCTCATGAAGAATCTCGTAGCTGAAAAGTTCAAAGTGATTCATTATATTACATTCTTGTGCTTCCTCATAGAAGCGTTCATTGAGTTTTCTGAGAAACTTCACCAACGGTTCGATCTTGAGGTCGTCGTGAAGGCATTTGTTACGCACATAGAAGTGGGCATTTGTAATAATGCGAAGACATCTGCTTTGCACCAATTGAAGCTTCACAAGTTCCTTATCGGAGATAGTTGTCCATGCCGGCGAAGCGTAAGTCATGACTGGTCTGATAACGGAAAGGTAAATAAGTCTCTTCTTTTAAAGATCCAGTGAAGAGTATTTCCCCAATAATTGGGTATAAGCATTTGATGATTTTAAATGCCCTGTAACGCACATTATTAACATGCTGTGTCCAAGTAAAGAAGTCATTAAATAAAACACGAAGATATTTGGCCTGAGAAACTACTGGAACAACTTCGTTGAATAAAGAAAGTTGTTTTCTTGATCGGAGCTTTCCTTTTGCGTTTCCGAATGATCAAGAGCTGTGACTCTTTGAGGCATTAATTTGAATTTTCCATTGTGCACACCACTGCACAATAAAAGAAATAATATCTTGAAGTTTTTTGACTATGCGATTTACATTTGTAGATTTTACAGCTAACGAGGTGTCATCTGCATAGCAAGCCAAAATAGAGTTGTTCTGTGGTATTTCTGGAAATCTGCAACATAAAATAAGTAAAAATTTGGTTCTAGGAGCGAACCTTGAGGAATACCACTGCGAATACCTTTTTTGCAGGAGACAGCACCATTTACACAAACATAAAATGTCCTGTTCGTGATGACAGAATGTATCTTAAGTAATAGCTCTCTATCAAAGTGATAGGAAATCAATTTTGAGATAATGCCAGACGCCGTCGAGAGCTTTCACCACGTCTAGCATAAGAAAAGCAATACAATGTTTATTATAGAGCGCTGAGCCAGCAAACTCCGCAATCCGCACTAGTTGATTGGTCATCGAAAGCTTGGCTCGAAAACCAAATTGTTTAGGCGGTAGTAAATTAAGATAAGGTTGCATCCGTGATAAAATAATCCGTTCATAGATTTTTCCTAGCACTGGTAGCAAACTGATCGGCCTATAACCGTCAGGTTTATTTTGATCCTTACCAGGCTTTGTATTCAAAATAACTTTCGCACATTTCGATAAGCTAGGAAAATAGTTGTGGTACAAGCATATATTAAAATGCTGGTCAGTTTACAAATAATGTTGTGCGGCAGGTTTTTGATAGTAATGCCGTCATTACCGGACGCCTTGCGCGATTTAATTTTTTTTAATAATATTCACAACTTCTGCAGGAGTGGCAAATTTATCCCATCCCATGGGAAAACCTTCGATATCTGAAGATGTGCCGTCTCCACAGCCAACGGGCAGACAAGACAGTACCAGTACGGTCCCCGCCGAGCCTGATCTTACCATCGAATAAACGATGGCTCTAGTCCTGTGAAGACTGATTATTTACCCCCAGAGGTCGACGCTGTCTAGCCAGTTTGCTGGACAGAACCCCGGGTCTTCTCCGATAAATGGTCAGTTCCGGAAATTCCAACTCATTCGAACCCCAGGGATGGTGTCCGGCATTATTAGCTCAGACGAACCTGGTTACTGGCTGGGGCCACGAGAATGCCGATGCCGGACTGAGACAGGAGAAGCTATAAGGTAGCACGTCACTGCCTCGGCAGCAGCACCAACTCTCAGAAGGTCCAGATCGAATCCCGGGTTTCCTCCCATAAAATGGTCGATTCCAACTTCAAGGGAGTACCAAATACCTCCGCCAAATGTCTTTCGACACAGCCCATAATCTTATTGTCTAATTTAGATACCAGATCTATATAAATTAGATAACTATTGAATGATTAAGTATAAAAGAAAGTACACAGCCCATTATTTGATTTCTGGATAAATAATATTCAAAATCATAAAAATATTAAATGTGTTTTCTGCCTGTAGGCTATTACCTAGCAAAAAGAAGAAATATTATAGTCATATTAAGCAATATTCTATTTAAAGGATACTTGAATGGAGAAATAAGGGCAACAGGTAATTTCTCACGCTAATTCGGAATATGCATCCAAGCTATGTTTGATAGTTTTCCTTCAGCATTTATAAAAAAAAAGGCACATATTTATAAGGATATTTTTTCATAATCATTTTATGTAGTGAAGCTGCTCAATCTGCAATAAAATGAAATTACTTATTACAACAGTTAAGAAAAAATTTAATGGGTTGATTTTTATATTTTATCATGGATTTTAACGTTTATCAGAATGAAAAATTATAAATATTTTATCTTTCTCGTGTAACTCTTTATTATGTTATTATGTTCTTCCAGATTTTTATGTTTAAAGCAGAATCGAAGAACAAGGAAAACAAATTCAGATTGCTTAGCGTTTCTAACTCCTTTAATGTAATATTACGAATCAAACAATCGGGCTGTAAATTTGTTACAAAAATATTCATCATTTAATTCCTTTTACTTCAAAGAAATTCGGATTTTGAACTTCCGTCGTGAGTTCTCCTAAGCGAGATTAGTTTACGAAAAAGGAAAGCTCGCAGAATATAAAATACGTTTTCAAGGGACTTTCTTGATTTTACGCCCGTTCATGTAACATTCATCTTAAATCTTTTAAAATGTTTATCCGAAATAATCATAAAAGGAAAAATATTCAACTTTCAGAAACAAAAATAATATATGTTTATGTAAAAGCCCATTGTTTCGCTATTTTTTACGCGAGCTAATATGCATATTTAATGTTTTAATCAATTTACTTATTTTGCTTTTTATAACCTTATTAATTAAATCTGTCTAATTAAATATATATATTCGCTTACTAAATAAGAAGATTTAAGGATTTTAAAACATTCAGTTCGAAGTTTTAAAATGGCTTATGTGTACACCACATAACTTCCTTGTACGGAATAACGCATTTTTTTCCTGCATTTCATTTATCTTATTGAGTTGAATCAAATCAACTTCGTCGATAGCGCGTAAACCACAATAGAATAAATGCACTCTTTAAAATTCACTGTATTTATTTACCATAGCGACAATCTAGCGGTAGGTTCACTTAACTGCGTTATATCTCATTCATTTTTTAACACAAAAAGCACAAAAATTATACCATCTGAAGTATTATCGAATCGCTGCCATTTTCGAATACTATAATAAATCTAAAACAATGTATAAAAGATATTAAACAAATAAAAAAGAAACAGTTTTCAGCGCCGCTTAACTAATGCGCATGCGCTACTCGTAAACATTCTCTTCTGTCCGAGACTGACTAGTGACAATATTTGCTGCTAATACGAAACACTTATTTCCTCGAAATTCATTAAAGACATATGTCTCGTTCAATTCAGTTCTGACTTCGCGGCAAGGCAAAAATACATACAAACTCAAAATAGTTTCATTAAAAACTGAAAGATATAGAAGAACATAAAACACTAAGTACAGTTAACACAATTAAAAAAAAATACAATTGAAAATACAGTTTCTACGCAAAAACAAGCAATTCGGCCAGCAGGCAAGAAGGCTGATTCTTCGGTACAAAAAAGTAAAACTCACTCCTTTTGGTCCCACTGGGCAAAAAGACGCGAAAGGTGCAGAAACAATTACTTCACTATTCTGCTAATTTTTAAGTGAAAACTATAATATGTATGCTATGGTAAAAAAAAAAAAAAAAAAAAAAAAAAAAATAGGATTAGCCGCACGTGATCAAATTTTAAATTATTGATAATTCTACAAATATTGCATGTAGATTAATTAAAGGGCATAAAAACCTTAACAGAAGATAAGAGCAACATAATTCAATCGTTTTAAAAGAAAAATAAAATGCGCAATTGACCAACATATAAGAATAAAAAAACTGAGCTCACTGAGTAACAGAGTGGATATATATATATATATTTATATACTTTTGGTCCAGCCGATTGCAACGAAAATAGTAGGTGCACCTATACATGTTATAGTAGTCCTATATAGTAGTGGCAATAGATATCAAAGGGGCATTCGATTCGTTATGGTGGCCAGACGTAATTAAATGCCTGGATAATGCACAAATCCCTATTGAAATAATCAAGCTCTTGCGAAGTTATCTGCAAGATAGAGGAGTGCAGGTTACTTCGAATAAAGGGGTTATCAATTACCAACTGCAAAGAGGATGCCCCCAAGGTTCCTACTTGGGACCCACGTTATGGAATTTGGTGGCTAACACAGCCTTTACTTTGTTTGATAATAATCCAAATGTGAATATACAAGCCTTCGCAGGTGATTTTCTTCTAGTCATTACTAGCAGGAAAGACGTGGTACAAAAGGCAGTCGACGACTTTGCAGCCTGGGCCAAGAGTCACAAACTGATCATCTCTGCAACGAAGACCCAATTGCTCTACATAGGTAGGAAAGGTATTCCAAAAAGAAATCCGTCCATTAAAATGAACGGTATACCGATCAAATGCGCGCCCAATCTGAAGTACTTGGGACTGACTTTTAATAATAAATTCTCTTGGGTTCCACACCTAAAGGAGGTGAAAAAGAAAATAAACAGCCTTACAAATAACATGCTCAAACAGCAAGAATACAGTGGGGAACGCCAGCCAATATTCTGAGAAGTTGGTATCGTACTATATCCGAGAGGATTATCTTATGGTGCAGCAATTTTGGGGGAAAAAATATCTCCTCACATATGAGTAAACTATTGCTCACAATACAAAGAATGCAATTATTACTGATATTCAGAGGATGGATACAGAACCACTTCTACAGCAGCACTTCAAGTACTTGCTGGTATACCACCATTAGACTTACAAGCAGAACGGGAATCCCTATTGGCAAGAGTGCTGAGACTAGATGAGAATGCAACATTATGGAATCAGAACTATTATCACAAGACTATGAAAAGCACAAACCAGTTCTTTTAGGGCACCCCGCAGACATAGACTTGTCCGATAGCATCCAACTTGTGTACGCATCTTCAAAAAAGAACAGCTTCAACCTCTACACGGATGGATCGAAAACAGAGCGAGGCGCCGGTAGTGCATTTTGCGCTTTACAAGGGGAGACTATTATTAAAACATGGAAAAGAAGACTAGATATTAGAAATACAGTCTTTCAGACAGAGGTTGCAGCGCTAAAAGCAGCAATTAAATTTGCAGTTTACTCACTTAGATTCAGAGCAACAATCTTCAGTGACTCGGCCTCTAGCCTGGCAGCGATTAGAGGAAATAAAAGGAGGAGCTCTTATGTACAAGAGCTCAAAAAAATTCTTTTGCATTGCTCTCCCTCCTTACGTCCACACTTGGTCTGGGTCCCAGCTCATGAGGGCATCACAGGCAATGAAAAGGCAGATGAGCTTGCCAAATCGGCAGCAAATGATAAAAGCCTGAGAGAATATCCTGTGAAACTCCCAACCTCTTATCTCAAGAGAAGTACTCTTGAAAATGTATTATGCCAGTGGCAGGAAAGGTGGGACTCAGCACCCACGGGTAGAAGGACCCTACTCCTTTTTTTCCAAAAGTGGGAACTGTAGCAAAAGTCACGAACGGTGGACAGACCCACTTTTTTTCTGGACATGGACCATTCCCTACCTATTTAAAGAGGTTCCACTTAAGCGGAACAGAATTCTGTGAATGTGGAGAGGTAGGTGATCCAGATCACTATCTCTTCCATTGTGCCACCAAACCTTATCACCTGAGGAGACCAAGTGATTTATTTTGGTCATGCAGGCATAAACAGAGCAAACACTTCAGAATAATTGACAATTACTGCACACATCTGTACCTTGTACGCTCACAATTAAAGGATCATCTTAGGGTAAAGACTTCCTTGTGAATGACATAACATTAGCTTTATTACCATTGCAGAACCTTGAACTGTTGAATGTTTGTGTGATTTAACCACATTGGTGTATAGATTCTTAATTTTTCATTGTACACATCTTTGTGACTTTTAGATTACCCTACAATTAATATGTCCTATAACTGAAAGAATCGTTAAAACGTATTGTAAAAATTACTAGTTAAATAACTGTATCATTCTTGAATTGTTTCTATTCCATCATTGGCAGAATTATATTTATTTATTTACTCAGCATAGATGGAGGCATAACCTATTGTCTAAAGCTAGAGTACAGAATATAAATTGGATTATGCTTTATGCTTGAAATATCACTGTTTATCATGTTGTTGGTAGTTCCACTGTATTTGCTAACTAGGAATGGTTTTGAAAAGTGTATTGTAACCTAACTTTAGCATTTTTCATTTATAGTATTATATTTGGGTACCTGCATCAATAATGAATAACAGTGTATGGTTTGATTAACATTGTATATTATTTCTTAATTTTGCAATAATATGGCTAACTAGTACAGTGTGAATAGTAATCAAGATATAGAGCTACTGTATTTACAGTAATTGTTCAGTATATCTGTCTAAGTAGTAGTATGAGGTTATGCGACTTTAATGTTTTTATATTTTGTAAATTTTGTACATATATATAATAGAATCACAATGTAATGTACCCAATGTAAAATGCAATTCTAGCCGAGTTTGTACTTTTGTAGCTTATAGTACTAGAGTGTAAAGTTTCGTAGGCATTGTATTGTACTCGAAATTGTGCGATAGAAAAATGATCTAATATTATCGTATTATATTTATAACCAAGTTTACTATGTTTCGCATTTATATAGGATATTCTATGTCTTGCATTAATATATTCTTCTATGTCTTGCATTTATATATGATATTGTTACAATGTATAGTACTCAGTGTAAAATGTAGTGTGGTCTAGTGTAAAACATTGAAGTAGCATTGTAGTGTAAAGGAATTACAGCAACATTGCCCATGTTAAAGTAGTGTAGTATAGTTAGAAGCGTAGTAGTTAAAATAGAACTTGAGTTAACAACCAGGCAGTTATAGAAACTAAAAACCTATGTAAAATAATGAGTGATTATGAAACCTAAGATTTTGAAATAATAAATGCTGTCGGATCAGCGAGTCATGATTGGACAGCATCTGCCAAGTGGAAACAAATACCGTAAGGCTTACTATAGTTAAGGGCGGCAGTCCACTCGAGCAGCGTTCAGTAGTCCTATATACAAAATCTAAACGTTCTGAGGCTTCTCGTTTTTCAGTTATGTGAGATCCATACATACATATGTACGTACAGACGGTACGAAAAACTCTCTTCTGAATCTATTTTAATTCGTTTCGGGAAAAAGATCCTTTATTCTGTCCTTACGTACAGATGTCGCAAAAAACATAGTTAAATTGCATTTGATGGCTGTCAAAATGGATATTTTCTTTGAAATATGAAACCTGAAATTTTTCGTGATTACAATACTTCCTTTCCTTTATACAAGTAAATGAAAATAAGGTGCTACTTTGGTAGACGGTTGCACGGATTTTGGCGATTTCTTGGCGATTTTCCTTTGGCGATTAATACAACTTATGGTAAACCCATTGCTGGATAAGTTATTTATGGTAACCGATACTTTGTTGTCATTTTATTTAAAAAATAATGCGTTTTATTGTGCATAAATTCCGTGTTTAAAATATTATTTATGGCTTTTAAATATTAAAATCAATTTAATTTTGCATTTTTATTTGAAATAAAAATTTTATTGTTTATCATATTTATGAAATTTTATTGTTGTGGATGATGTAATCAATGACGTCACCTTACTTTAAAAGTAATTCGTTTTAATATGTATAAATTTAATCTAATGTTTTAAACATTATTTATGGCTATTAAATATTAAAATACAATTTAATTTTGCATTTAAAAAAATGATTTTATTGTGTATGAATTTTTAAATAATTTTAATTCTATGCGTGATGTAATAAGCTCTCTGATTGGTTATAGAATATTTGTGCATTAACGAGCTGTAATCAGCTCCCTGATTGGTTACTGACAATTTGTGCATTTCCGCGCCGTTTTAAATTTAATTCATATCTTCGAATTCCTTCAAAGATGTTATCTAAATTATGATTTTGATTTCTTGTGGTACTGTTAATAAACAACAGGTTAAATACTCAAAAAAATGTAAGTACATATTTTTCTTTTATTTTATAATTGTATACTTCAATTTTTGTTAAAAAATAATACACTATTTTCAGTAATTGCTAAGATAATTATTGTCCATATGTTTTAATGTTAATTATATTCTATATAACGTATTTTAAAGTATTTGAATTTAATAATATTCTAATTCTTTTAAATGCTGGTATGATGGTTTTTAATTCCATATTCAATTTCAGTAATATTTTAATCTAATTAAACGTTGGCCCAATGTTTTTATAGCGGTATTTTTATTCTCTTCTTTGCTATATGAAAGTAATAATAACCTTACTTTAGAATTTTATATTCATAGTAAATGTATTTATTTACACTTGCCTGCCATCTTAAAAAACGACATTTTCAACAAAAAAATTAATCGATTACTTTTAACGATATTTATTTTTTTTAAAGTTTCGAATACTTTACTATGCGTAAAAACAACGTTTTTCAAGATGGCTGACGTTTGTAAAAACCGCGCCAACAATTGCGCCAAAGTAAATCGCCAAAAATCCGTGCAACCATCTACCAAAGTAGCACCTAAAGAAACGTTAGTAGTTTATCTGTTTTCTCTCAAATAAATAGTATACTCAACTTTCGTACACGTATTAAAAGTGAGCACGATCGACTAGACTGAAGGATTAAATAGACAACTTAGTTTAACGGTATTTAATGAATATATAAAATTCCAAAAAATTAAATGGGAGAAGGAAATCACAGACATTTACTCTGAGTGGCATTGTACTAAAGAGAAAATATAATCTAATGTAGTTTTCTGATTCCTACAAAAATGAAATTTTCAGAATTCGAAATTGGAAAACCAAAACACATGAATGATATCTGTCTAAGAAGAGAGGAGTCTTTCGTTAGAACTTTTAAAAGTAAACAGTCTTGTATTAACATCTGTTCTACCAAATACTAGCTCTCAACAGATAAAATAAATTACTTACTAGTTCTCATCAGTACAGCAACTAAGAATGCTTCAAGGGCTTGCAAAACATTGAGCAAACACATCTGTAAAACATTACTAAACCACTCTTTCTAAACACTAGCTGTAGCCACTACTTAAATCGGACTTATCTTCATTCTGGTAAATATTAAAATAGAAAAGAATAATTCTATCATAAAAATAATTGTTTCTTTAAATAAACCTTAAATTCTCGCCCTTTCAGTCACAAACTGAGTTTGGTGTTTAATTGGGGAAATGTGTGAGCTTGCATTTATTAAAAACACGCAGTTTTCGGCTACTCGTTTAATTTTCGATAACATAAATATTGTTACGAATTTGGTATTTAAAAAGCTAATGTTAGTTCAATTATAAATTAAACGGTTTTTATTTCTCGCGCAGTGCAGCGCGTGACGAATATTAAAAGAAAGCTAAGCCGGAAAATTGAAAATACAAGAGCGCGTGCATTAATTACATAAATATCTCTTTTTGATTTCGAGAAAGTACTGGAAAATTCTAGCGCGTGATTTTAAAATCTTATAAAAGGAGGAAAACATCTCTGCAGCGCGAGAAATAAAACCATTTAATTTATAATTGAACTAACATTAGCTTTTTAAATACCAAATTCCTAACACTGAGGGAAATCCTGTCCCTGCAATATTTCATCGATGGCATCCGGTACCCTGAAATACAGAAAGCACTGCGAATGGCGGATGTTAAAGATCTGAAAAGTGCTTTAATGTACGCCATGAAATTTGAGGCAGCCCAGCAAGCCACTCGTAGAGACCGTCACCCATTTCAGAGCTGCTCATGTCCAGGAAGCAAGGGACCAAATTGCTGTTCGTCTAGACGATATAACCAGACAACTGAATGACTTAAGAAGAAATATCAATGAAAAGAAACCGACCTTAAAATGTTGGAACTGCGGTGCTGAAGGACACATACGACGAAACTGCAGAACACCCCAGGGTACGCATGTAAGGACCGCTCCTAACAAACAGCAGGGAAACTAATTAGTGGCCATCTCGCGGGGCGGAGGTTCCCAGATAATTAAAAAGCCCCAGTTTAAAGCGTTTCAGATTTCTGCAGTGAGAGGCGGCAGTAATGGACTTTTCATAATAGGACATATTAATGGAGTTCCCTGCAATATGACGATAGATACAGGAGCCAACGTTACCATCATCCGAAAAGATTTGGCTCAACAACTGGGAAACAAACTTATCTGGAGGCCGCCCTGCGTTAGCCTCCAGACTGTGTCCGGTGAGAAGATCGACATCGACGGAATGTTAACATCACGTTTGGAAGTGCCGCTTACCATCACACGGCATATGTAACAGAGATCACTGATTCTTGCATACACGGATTGGACTTTCTAAGGAAATACAATTTTTCCGTGGACTTTAAAAATAACGAATTGCATTCTATATCTGAGGACATAGCGTTATTTGACGTAAATCATGAAGAAGTTAAATCTGTCCATAAAATCATAGCACAAGACAATATCACAATACCGGCAAGAACAAAAATTT